ATATATATATATAATAAACATATATGTTTACAACATTATATAGTTACATATATGTAATGCAGCCTCACTCTTTATATCTGTAAATATCCGTATCTTCAGAGAGGGTCATGATATTAAATATGATGCCTGTGTTACCTGTGATAAGTTAAGAACAATCCCTAAAGTGTACCTGGCGTTATTATGGCTGAAGCCAAACAAAATGCAGCCTCGCTTTACGTCAATGGCTCTTTTCTTTGGGCCCATCCCCCACCGCTCAGAGGAAACCAACACTTTCTCGGCCCACCGTCTCAAACTAACCCAACAAACACTCTCAAACCGCGGCGGTGTTGTTCATAAACGTTTCCCCGTCATTACCGGGACGCTCCCGGTACCGACCGCCGGTGCAGAGCCGGTGAAACGAGCGGTTAAGGGCTGTTGGCCGTGACTGCCGCATGCTTTGTCTTTTCAGCATCACATCTTCACAGCGACAATGAGGCCATTTTGCGCTAGAAGCTAACAGCTAGCCGGCTAACTGTTAGCTTCTACCGTCTGAGTGAACGGGCTGAAGCTAAGCTAACTGTGCTAACACGTTGGGTTAAACTGTAAAATAATATTAATAAATATAATTATAACGGTGTGTGGATGTTTACAGAGCTCTGCCTCTGCCTCTGTCTCGTTTACTGTCTACAAACTGGATGCTAACAAGCTAATTAGCCCGAAGCGCCCACCCCCACATCCTCCGCGGTCCTTCCTCCTTTTCTGCCCAAAAACAAGAGTTTATCTCTCCGCTCAGAAGTTCCGTTAAAACACCGCCCGGTGACCGGAGCCTGTGCTCTCAGGCCCCGGGACGTGACTCACCTCGTGTCCGTGTTATTTTACTCCTGTTTCGGTCATAGGATCGACGGCAGGAGGAGCGGAGATCAGCCTCAGATGAGATCATTCATGCCACGGCTTCAAAAACTGAACCAGCTCCGTCTGTCTGTGTGTGTGTGTGTGTGTGTGTGTGTGCGCGTGCTGCTGCTGCGGAGCGGGGGGGGGGNGGGGGGGGGGGGGGGGGGGGGGGGGGGGGGGGGGGGGGGGGGGGGGGGGGGGGGGGGGGGGGGGGGGGGGGGGGGGGGGGGGGGCGAGGGGGAGGAGCTTAATAGACCACAGATAGTCTCAAATATAAACAGTAACAGTTTATTAAATATTTTGATCACTTTAATTATCAATGAAAAAAACAGTCAGTCTGATGTTATGGACAATTACACAGGTATAAATAAGAAATCAACTGTTGCACGGTGTTAACATCACGATATAAAATGTTTCAACACTATAGAAGTCGTGAGGACGTAAAGAATATATGAGTTATTTTCTAAGAGGAGACTTTTGACAAACTTTCATTGACAAAATGTTTCAAACAAACAAACAAACTTCGTCTTTAACGTCAACTTCATCATTTTCTTCTTCTAGATGTTTTAAATCTTTGCTTTTTTATATAGTTCATTCCCACCATACTCTTTGCTGTTGCTACAGACAGACAAAAACATATTGGGTGATAACTTAAAGACAGAGACATGATTTTCAAACTGACAGACACGTATCGACCCACCTTAAGTTTAACAGTTTGTGATCCTGATCACAGAAGATGAAACATAATCAGGTGTCCTTTTGTGTCCTGATGCAGACGATGTTTTTAACTCCAGCTGTTAAAATGTTTATTCTTCCTTCACAGGTTTCAGATGTTTAATTAAGTATCAAGATGTTGATGTGAGTTTTTCCTTTCCTTTCCTTTCCTCTAGAGTCTGTTCAGTGTCTCTCAGCCTGTGAGTCACATCACTGTGATTATCAGTATGATTATTATGTCTGCCACAGAGGGTCATGTTTTCCCTCTTGGTAACAAGTTCAATCTACCTCACTATCAATCATGTATGTTAGAAATGTATCACGACAGATTTTAGATTCTTCACTGATTTATCAAGTGCAGCCATTATTACAGCCGGCCTCACAGCAGGAGGGACATACACAGTCTGAGGCTCATGTAGATCCACCATGTGACATACATCCCATCATCGGTCCACAGTGACCAGTATGAGCCCTAAAAACACAGGTGTGATGATGCTTCCTGCTGTGACGTTACTGTGCTGGAATGTTGGTTAATTAGAGCTGATCTTAATTATGTCTCCATCATCTGTGTGTGTCACAGACTTTATTAAAGAAGTGAGACACAGCTCAGTCACAGGTGGCAGCAGAGGTGTAACAGCTCACACCATCATGATCATAGACTGCAACAATAATGACAGCCCCCGTGCACGCCACTGTGCACATATCGTCTCGTCACATGATCAAACGTTCGACTCAACACTGGTCAACATCAACATATATATTACCCAGCATTCATCACTGTGTCTGTACATGACCAATAACACTGATGACAATAAGACACTATTCATTTATTTTAATCCTTTTCATTTATTTATAGTTTATATAGAATAAACATGTAATGTTGTTACAGATGCTTCTTTTATTTTTTATTTTTTTAAGGATATTTTTGGGCATTTTGCCTTAAATGGACAGGGAAGCCAAGTGTGAAATGGGAGCGAGAGAGGGGATGTCATGCAGCAAAGGGCCACAGGCTGGACTCGAACTTGGGCCGCTGCAGCAACAGCCTTGTACATGGGGTGTCTGCTCTACCCACTAAGCCACCGACGCCCCGTTACAGATGCTTCTGACAATAGGCCCCAGTACAACCACACTGCCTGTATTGTCTGTATCAGGAGTACACAGCCTGCAGCTCAGGGGCCACATGAGGCTCTTCAACCCTTCTCCGTTAAACAACAGTAGCAGAAGAAGAAGAAGAAGGCTCCGGTCCGGCAGGGGGGCGGTGATGTGCTGCCGTTAAACAGCAGTAGAAGAAGAAGAAGAAGAAGAAGAAGAAGAAGAAGAAGAAGGAAGAAGTCTCCGGTCCAGCAGGGGGCTGTGTCGACCTTCTGTTAAACAGCAGTAGAAGAAGAAGAAGAAGAAGAAGGCTCTGGTCCAGCAGGGGGCGGTGCTGCGCTGCCGTTAAACAGCAGTAGAAGAAGAAGAAGAAGAAGGAAGAAGTCTCCGGTCCAGCAGGGGGCGGTGATGCGCTGCCGTTAAACAGCAGTAGAAGAAGAAGAAGAAGAAGAAGAAGAAGAAGAAGAAGAAGAAGAAGAAGAAGAAGAAGAAGAAGAAGAAGAAGAAGAAGAAGAAGAAGAAGAAGAAGAAGAAGAAGAAGAAGAAGAAGAAGAAGAAGAAGAAGAAGAAGAAGAAGAAGAAGAAGAAGAAGAAGAAGAAGAAGAAGAAGAAGAAGAAGAAGAAGAAGAAGAAGAAGAAGAAGAAGAAGAAGAAGAAGAAGAAGAAGAAGAAGAAGAAGAAGAAGAAGAAGAAGAAGAAGAAGAAGAAGAAGAAGAAGAAGAAGAAGAAGAAGAAGAAGAAGAAGAAGAAGAAGAAGAAGAAGAAGAAGAAGAAGAAGAAGAAGAAGAAGAAGAAGAAGAAGAAGAAGAAGAAGAAGAAGAAGAAGAAGAAGAAGAAGAAGAAGAAGAAGAAGAAGAAGAAGAAGAAGAAGAAGAAGAAGAAGAAGAAGAAGAAGAAGAAGAAGAAGAAGAAGAAGAAGAAGAAGAAGAAGAAGAAGAAGAAGAAGAAGAAGAAGAAGAAGAAGAAGAAGAAGAAGAAGAAGAAGAAGAAGAAGAAGAAGAAGAAGAAGAAGAAGAAGAAGAAGAAGAAGAAGAAGAAGAAGAAGAAGAAGAAGAAGAAGAAGAAGAAGAAGAAGAAGAAGAAGAAGAAGAAGAAGAAGAAGAAGAAGAAGAAGAAGAAGAAGAAGAAGAAGAAGAAGAAGAAGAAGAAGAAGAAGAAGAAGAAGAAGAAGAAGAAGAAGAAGAAGAAGAAGAAGAAGAAGAAGAAGAAGAAGAAGAAGAAGAAGAAGAAGAAGAAGAAGAAGAAGAAGAAGAAGAAGAAGAAGAAGAAGAAGAAGAAGAAGAAGAAGAAGAAGAAGAAGAAGAAGAAGAAGAAGAAGAAGAAGAAGAAGAAGAAGAAGAAGAAGAAGAAGAAGAAGAAGAAGAAGAAGAAGAAGAAGAAGAAGAAGAAGAAGAAGAAGAAGAAGAAGAAGAAGAAGAAGAAGAAGAAGAAGAAGAAGAAGAAGAAGAAGAAGAAGAAGAAGAAGAAGAAGAAGAAGAAGAAGAAGAAGAAGAAGAAGAAGAAGAAGAAGAAGAAGAAGAAGAAGAAGAAGAAGAAGAAGAAGAAGAAGAAGAAGAAGAAGAAGAAGAAGAAGAAGAAGAAGAAGAAGAAGAAGAAGAAGAAGAAGAAGAAGAAGAAGAAGAAGAAGAAGAAGAAGAAGAAGAAGAAGAAGAAGAAGAAGAAGAAGAAGAAGAAGAAGAAGAAGAAGAAGAAGAAGAAGAAGAAGAAGAAGAAGAAGAAGAAGAAGAAGAAGAAGAAGAAGAAGAAGAAGAAGAAGAAGAAGAAGAAGAAGAAGAAGAAGAAGAAGAAGAAGAAGAAGAAGAAGAAGAAGAAGAAGAAGAAGAAGAAGAAGAAGAAGAAGAAGAAGAAGAAGAAGAAGAAGAAGAAGAAGAAGAAGAAGAAGAAGAAGAAGAAGAAGAAGAAGAAGAAGAAGAAGAAGAAGAAGAAGAAGAAGAAGAAGAAGAAGAAGAAGAAGAAGAAGAAGAAGAAGAAGAAGAAGAAGAAGAAGAAGAAGAAGAAGAAGAAGAAGAAGAAGAAGAAGAAGAAGAAGAAGAAGAAGAAGAAGAAGAAGAAGAAGAAGAAGAAGAAGAAGAAGAAGAAGAAGAAGAAGAAGAAGAAGAAGAAGAAGAAGAAGAAGAAGAAGAAGAAGAAGAAGAAGAAGAAGAAGAAGAAGAAGAAGAAGAAGAAGAAGAAGAAGAAGAAGAAGAAGAAGAAGAAGAAGAAGAAGAAGAAGAAGAAGAAGAAGAAGAAGAAGAAGAAGAAGAAGAAGAAGAAGAAGAAGAAGAAGAAGAAGAAGAAGAAGAAGAAGAAGAAGAAGAAGAAGAAGAAGAAGAAGAAGAAGAAGAAGAAGAAGAAGAAGAAGAAGAAGAAGAAGAAGAAGAAGAAGAAGAAGAAGAAGAAGAAGAAGAAGAAGAAGAAGAAGAAGAAGAAGAAGAAGAAGAAGAAGAAGAAGAAGAAGAAGAAGAAGAAGAAGAAGAAGAAGAAGAAGAAGAAGAAGAAGAAGAAGAAGAAGAAGAAGAAGAAGAAGAAGAAGAAGAAGAAGAAGAAGAAGAAGAAGAAGAAGAAGAAGAAGAAGAAGAAGAAGAAGAAGAAGAAGAAGAAGAAGAAGAAGAAGAAGAAGAAGAAGAAGAAGAAGAAGAAGAAGAAGAAGAAGAAGAAGAAGAAGAAGAAGAAGAAGAAGAAGAAGAAGAAGAAGAAGAAGAAGAAGAAGAAGAAGAAGAAGAAGAAGAAGAAGAAGAAGAAGAAGAAGAAGAAGAAGAAGAAGAAGAAGAAGAAGAAGAAGAAGAAGAAGAAGAAGAAGAAGAAGAAGAAGAAGAAGAAGAAGAAGAAGAAGAAGAAGAAGAAGAAGAAGAAGAAGAAGAAGAAGAAGAAGAAGAAGAAGAAGAAGAAGAAGAAGAAGAAGAAGAAGAAGAAGAAGAAGAAGAAGAAGAAGAAGAAGAAGAAGAAGAAGAAGAAGAAGAAGAAGAAGAAGAAGAAGAAGAAGAAGAAGAAGAAGAAGAAGAAGAAGAAGAAGAAGAAGAAGAAGAAGAAGAAGAAGAAGAAGAAGAAGAAGAAGAAGAAGAAGAAGAAGAAGAAGAAGAAGAAGAAGAAGAAGAAGAAGAAGAAGAAGAAGAAGAAGAAGAAGAAGAAGAAGAAGAAGAAGAAGAAGAAGAAGAAGAAGAAGAAGAAGAAGAAGAAGAAGAAGAAGAAGAAGAAGAAGAAGAAGAAGAAGAAGAAGAAGAAGAAGAAGAAGAAGAAGAAGAAGAAGAAGAAGAAGAAGAAGAAGAAGAAGAAGAAGAAGAAGAAGAAGAAGAAGAAGAAGAAGAAGAAGAAGAAGAAGAAGAAGAAGAAGA